CAACACACGGACCTCACTCAGAGACACACAACACACGGACCTCGCTCAGAGACACACAACACACGGACCCCACTCAGAGAGACACAACACACGGACCTCACTCAGAGACACACAACACACGGACCCCACTCAGAGAGACACAACACACGGACCTCACTCAGAGACACACAACACACGGACCCCACTCAGAGACACACAACACACGGACCTCACTCAGAGACACGCAACACACGGACCTCACTCAGAGACACACAACACACGGACCTCACTCAGAGACACGCAACACACGGACCCCACTCAGAGACACACAACACACGGACCTCACTCAGAGACACACAACACACGGACCCCACTCAGAGACACACAACACACGAACCCCACTCAGAGACACACAACACACGGACCCCACTCAGAGACACGCAACACTCGGACCCCACTCAGAGACACACAACACACGGACCTCACTCAGAGACACACAACACACTGACCCCACTCAGAGACACACAACACACGAACCCCACTCAGAGACACACAACACACTGACCCCACTCAGAAACACACAACACACGGACCCCACTCAGAGACACACAACACACGGACCCCACTCAGAGACACACAACACACGGACCCCACTCAGAGACACACAACACACGGACCCCACTCAGAGACACACAACACACGAACCCCACTCAGAGACACACAACACACGGACCCCACTCAGAGACACACAACACACGGACCTCATTCAGAGACACAACACACGGACCTCACTCAGAGACACACAACACACGGACCCCACTCAGAGACACACAACACACGGACCCCACTCAGAGACACACAACACACGGACCGAACTCGGAGACACACAACACACGGACCCCACTCAGAGACACGCCAAACTGACCCCACTCAGAGACACACAACACACGGACCCCACTCAGAGACACACAACACACGAACCCCACTCAGAGACACACAACACACGATCCCCACTCAGAGACGCACAACACACGGACCCCACTCAGAAAGACACAACACACGGACCTCACTCAGAGACACACAACACACGGACCCCGCTCAGAGACACACAACACACGAACCCCACTCAGAGAGACACAACACACGGACCTCACTCAGAGACACACAACACACGGACCCCACTCAGAGACACACAACACACGGACCCCACTCAGAGACACACAACACACGGACCCCACTCAGAGACACACAACACACGGACCCCACTCAGAGACACACAACACACGGACCCCACTCAGAGACACACAACACACGGACCCCACTCAGAGACACACAACACACGGACCCCACTCAGAGGACACACAACACACGAACCCCACTCAGAGACACACAACACACGGACCCCACTCAGAGACACACAACACACTGACCCCACTCAGAGACACGCAACACACGGACCTCAATCAGAGACACACAACACACGGACCTCGCTCAGAGACACACAACACACGGACCCCACTCAGAGAGACACAACACACGGACCTCACTCAGAGACACACAACACACGGACCCCATTCAGAGAGACACAACACACGGACCTCACTCAGAGACACACAAACACACGGACCCCACTCAGAGACACACAACACACGGACCTCACTCAGAGACACGCAACACACGGACCTCACTCAGAGACACACAACACACGGACCTCACTCAGAGACACGCAACACACGGACCCCACTCAGAGACACACAACACACGGACCTCACTCAGAGACACACAACACACGGACCCCACTCAGAGACACACAACACACGAACCCCACTCAGAGACACACAACACACGGACCCCACTCAGAGACACGCAACACTCGGACCCCCACTCAGAGACACACAACACACGGACCTCGCTCAGAGACACACAACACACTAGACCCCACTCAGAGACACACAACACACGAACCCCACTCAGAGACACACAACACACTGACCCCACTCAGAGACACACAACACACGGACCCCACTCAGAGACACACAACACACGGACCCCACTCAGAGACACACAACACACGGATCCCACTCAGAGACACACAACACACGGACCCCACTCAGAGATACACAACACACGGACCCCACTCAGAGACACACAACACACGGACCCCACTCAGAGAGAGGGGCGCCTGGATCGGGAGGCGAACCCCCCCGCCCCCCCCCCCCCCCCCCCCGGATGGTACGCTGGCAGAGTGGGGCCTTGTTTTTTCAGGACGCTTTGAAGGCCACGGTCCCCAGCTGCCGTTACCATGGCCCCAGGGGGGGCGTGAAGGGGGCGGCACGGCGCCGTGGTTATTTTAAGGCGAAGGTGGCGGCGTCACCGGAGCGGAACACTGCCGGCATTCTTCCACTCACTCGGGTGGACGGGACCCAGAGTCACGCTCGCTCGCTTGTCCGCTGCTCGCTCGCTCGCTCACTCACTCACTCGCTCGCTCGTCCGCTGCCCGCTCGCTCGCCGGGCCCCGGAGGTGGACGCGCGATGAGCGCGGAGGACGCGAGATACGCAGAGCGTCCAGGCCGCGACCGCATGGGCAGCCACGCGGGCAGCCACGCGGGCAGCCGCATGGGCAGCCACGTGGGCAGCCAGACGTGACTGCTGCCACCGCCTCCTCTATCGCAACCACCACCACCGCCGCCGCTGCCACCATCATCGCAGCCGACAACACTGCCAACACCGCCACCATCACAGCCAGAGTTGCCACCTGTTCAGGTTTTCCCAGCATCAGCCCTCTTCGTCCAGCTGGGTTTGTCCTTAGAATGTTAGAGCTGAGGTGGGGTCAGTGCAGACTTTAAGCCCCACGACTGCCACATGTGGGGGGACAGCCGTGTTTGTGTTGTTTTTTACAGCGGTCCCCGAGCGCCAACTCGCTTCCCGCATCACTTCCCAGAGCCGTTCCTGGATGGGTTGCCGGATGGGTTCCAGGAGCAGTTCCTGTAGCAGCTCCCGTAGCGGTTTCCAGAGTGGTTCCCGGAGCAATTCCGGGATCGGTTCCCAGATCAGTTCCCAGATCGGTTCCCAGATCGGTTCCCAGATCGGTTCCCAGATCGGTTCCCAGATCGGTTCCCAGATCGGTTCCCAGATCGGTTCCCAGATCAGTTCCCAGATCAGTTCCCAGATCGGTTCCCAGATCGGTTCCCAGAGCGGCTCCTGGATCAGTTCCCGGAAGATTCCCAGATCGGTTCCCGGATGGGTTCCCGGAGCGGCTTCAAACATAATGCAGCGACTCTGCCGGAGCTCACACGAGCAGACAGACGCGCGGCGACACGAGGAGTGGTCGTGGCTCGTCCCCCACCTCGGAGCGCTCCCCCACAGAAGATCGTCATCGATTTGATCGATCGAATTACTCGATCGCCATCTGATACAGTCTGCGCGCGGGGGATAGAGCATTGCCCCCTTGCGCAAGGCGTGGGTTTTCTCTGGGAGCTCCGGTTTTCCTCCCACACATGGTAAAATCATAAACACAACTCATCGTTAATCGGCTGGAAACATCTCACGAGCACAGCACGGCAGTACTGGCAGCAGACTCGTGCCCTGGGTCACCCGTGAGAACAAGACTCCTGGCCTGCTCTCTTGAGCAGGATAGGAGCTCTCACCTGGATAAACAGTTAAACCCTGAGACCTGTTAGGCAACGCAAGAAACGCGTGATAATTAAAACCAAATTACCCTGAGAGAGAGCGGCGGGGGATGCGTCAGCTATTGTGAAAGCCCAGGTGAAACGGGGCCCCAAGTTTCCCAAGAATAACAAGAGTCGCCGGGGGGAGAAGATTGCATCGCACGTTGGCAACAACACGGAGGTGACATCGCCGGCCAGCAGAGGACTCCTGGCCCGGGCCAAGGCCAAACCCAATGCTCCGTGCTGTGTTCTTGGCCTGAAACCGACTGCCTCCCCATCCCATAGACTCACACGGAGACTCGCAGATGGTGCAGACTCGCACAGAGACATACAGAATCACATCGATCTGTAACATGCACCGCGGGCAAACCGTATGGTGGGCGCTCCGGCCTGCGAAGGCCCCGTGGTGACCATCACTGCCGCCGCCGGCTTTACAGCGGCGACGTCGCTCCCTACCGCCAGGCTCGACCCTTCTGCGAACCGCAGCAGCGCCTTCTTTCGTGACGACAGCCGCGCGCTATCGCAATGACGGCGCCGATACCGCGCGCGCTCCGTTATTGCCGTTACTACGGAGAGCGGTGGGGGTGCCACGGCAACGCTACGGAGCGGCCACCCCACGGGGCGACAGCGACCCGAGCGGAGGGGCGTGCCACCGACGGGCGCCCGGCCTGCACCGGCGTAGGAAACGGGTTCCGTAAAACGCTGCCCGGGCTGTGCGGGGAAACAGACAGGAAGGCACTTAACAGATCACAGAGGGCCCTTAATGGGCCCTGGCTAACACCGAACACATGTCTGGCGCACGGCTGCGTGCTACTGACCTCATTCTCGCGGACACGTGCGCCACATGTGCCACTGTGTGCCACGCTCACCACGCACGCGACGTCGGCGCTGACCGACCGCTGTCTTGGGCAACGATGGCGGCGGCGACGGCGGACACAGACACGCGTAGAGATGTGTACACGGCCTCCGCCCGTGCGTTAAGCAAAAAACTACGGCAGCGGCAATTCCTGAACGAGTTCATTCTGGTCCCATTGTCGCAGGTCACCGTCAAAATTGATTTGAGCAAATTGTGACCGGCTGTGTTTGTCTATCTCTGCATCACTGCCACTGCCCAGAAAGTCGGTCTCGTGTGCTCACATTTACCGTGACGGCAGCCTGAGGCAAGAGGGACCACAATGCACTTCTTTGGGAACTGCCCATAATGCTTTGCCCAGAGGGCCGGCTGCACGGCATGCACGCGCGTGAGTGCGTCGCGGATTCACGCGCATCGTCTGCAGCGTCACGCTAACACGCGGTGACACAGCAACAACAGCAGCAGCAGCAGCAACAGCAGGCGCACGCGACGTCGCTCACCTGCTCTTCCGTGAGGAGGATCAGCCGAGTGACCATGATGCTCACGGCATTGCCAAGGCTGGAATCGTGGAAGAGTTTGGCGACCTGACCTCCACCAAACAAAACAGGTTTGGGTTGACCAGGGGATCGGGGCGGGGTAGAGGAAGGGAGAGGGAAGGCGGGGCGGGGGAGGTCGAGGGCGAGGAGAGTGGAGGTGGGGAGCCGGGGTGGGAGAGGCGAGGGGAGACACAAGCCGAGTCACTTCCGAGTTGGGCGTCACGACCGTCCGTCTGCCGACGCACACAACGACAAAGATCCCGTGTGGCCAAGCGCTGCTTTGAAGGCACACAAGGGGGTGGGTGGGCCAGCACCATGCCCCACCGCCTTTGTCTCCACAGGTGCTCATTTGAGGCTGAGTTGACCTACGGGAGTCCCAAGACCGGTTCAGATAATCGTCACTGGTGTTGGCCATGAGCGGGAATTGAACTCGGGTCTCCGGGTTTGAAGAGCTCTAACTGCTACAACACCACTCCCCGCAGACACACATGCACGGACAAAAGACAAAGGCACACACGTGGACACACACGTGGACACACACGTGAACATACACGTGAACACACACACACGTGGACACACACGTGGACACACAGTGGACACACACGTGAACATACACGTGAACACACACACACGTGGACACACACGAGGACACACAGTGGACACACACGTGAACATACACGTGAACACACACACACGTGGACACACACGTGGACACACAGTGGACACACACGTGAACATACACGTGAACACACACACACGTGGACACACACGAGGACACACAGTGGACACACACACACACGTGTGTACGCTTGGCAACTCCCAGCTGCTGCACAGGGAATGATGGCGGCACCTCCACCACAGGGGCCGTGACGACGCACGGTGGTCACGCGGGGGGGGAAGGGAGAGGGGGGGGGGAGAGGGGGGGGCGGCCCTCGATTTCGCCCGGTCAGCGCGTGCCGGGCAGCTCGTCCGAGGTCAAGGTGGCTCAATCATTCTGGGTCGTCATCCTCCATCTGTCTCTCTCGCTCTCTCTGCTCTCACTCTCCCAGTGCCTTTGGCCTAGAACCGAGCACCGCTCCCACGGTGCTCACCGTGCGCTCGTCGTCGGGAGCGAGCCCGAGCTTGCGCAGGTGTTTGGCGCCGAGCCACCAGGTGGGCTCACCTTTGGCAAACCGGCCGGCCGCGCCGCCTGTCGCGGTCAGCTTCGGAGGTGCGCATGCGGGGCGCCGCGTTGCCGACCGACGAACGAACGAACGAACTCGCGGCACTTTCGTTCCCACGGGTGCCGCCAGGGCTCCGGTTTCATTTTAAGCCGCCGCCGAACCGGCTCGAGAGTGGCGAGACCGCCAGACGCTCGCGTCCTCGCGACCGCCCAGCGCCCCCTCCCAGCGCGGCGAGCGGTTGCCGTTTAAACGGTCGCGGTGGCCGCCCCCGACGCTACTGCCGAGCGGCACCTCGCTCTCGGGGCCTCTCTGCCGCTTGCCCCCCCACCCCCACCGCCGCCGCGGGAGGACCGAGGACCTGCTGCTGAGAACTCCAGCGGCGCCCCTCGGCCAGCAGAGCCCAGCCGGGCCCTCCCGGGTCCTGCATGAGTCTATGGGTCTCTACACTAGTCTATGGGTCTCTGTGCCAGTCTGTGGGTCTCTACACTAGTCTATGGGTCTCTGTGCCACTCTCTAGCTCTATATGAAAGTCACAGCTGACCGGGCTGAGACCAATCAACTTCGGAAGTCTAAACCGGGGCCCTCTCGGCCCCCACGGCCCCCGCTGGGCCACCCGGCCGCCAACTTACGATGTTCATGATGGTGAGCAGGTAGTCCTCAATGTCCCGGCGCCCGTGGAAGCCCACCATGAGCTTGTCGGCCACCACCAGCGTCTCCACGGTGCGCTCCACGCTCACCGAGCGGCGCCCGCGCTGGGCCGCCGACGACGCCGCCAGCGGCGGCCGCCACCACCACGCCCCGCGCTGCCGTGCCGGCGCTTTGGCCCCTTTCCGCCGGCCGCTGCCTCCCGTCCAGGACTTCGCTGCCCGGGCAGAACACAGAGCGAGCAAGGGCGTCACTAAAACTACTCAACGAGACTATTATTTTTAATTTTACCAGGGTGAAGCCCCGCTGAGCTGTTAGTCCTTTGTCGGAAGCGACCTGGCCACAAATGATCGCTCAAAGAAGCGGCTCATCATCATCATCACCACGTGGAAATGTACCGCGGCAGCGAAATACTCTGAACGCGTGGTGATGTCGATTCTAAATGTCGAGGTAAAAAACCGGAGGACCCGGAGGAAAATCCACGCGACCACGGGGAAAGACGCACAAACTCCAAAAATATACAGCAGGCGTCAGGGTCGGGGCCAGACCCAGGGTGTGAGTGAGTGCGGGGAGCGGTGGTGCAACGGTTAGCGTGCCGTGCAACGAACCCCGGCAAACCCGAGTTCGATTCCCGCTCCCACAATCAATAACAGTGACGAATATTTGAATCGGTCCCTGGGCTTCCCCTTAGTGGGAGGGAGAGTCTGTTGGCATGAGGATGATGATGACGATGAGGTGGATGATGATGATGAGGTGGACGATGATGATGAGGTGGATGATGATGATGTGGACCCGTAGGCGCTGCTCACCCCCTACGCCGCACGCCGCCTCCTCCTCCCCGTGCTTGCGGTGCAGCCGCACGGCCGAGCGCTTGAAGACGAGGTGCGGCCTCTCCTCCACCTCCTCCACCTCCCCCACCCGCCCCGCCCCATCGTGCCGCCCGCGCCGCGCTCGCCGCGACGACGGCGACGACGGCGAGCTGGAGGTGGCGTTCCGCAGCGGTTCGATAAAGAACTCCTCTCCGTCCGCCACGATCACCCCGTGCTGTGGGTACGGGGGGGGGGGGGGGGGGCGGGAGCCGAGGGAAGGGGGGAAAGAGTCCATCGAGCGCCAACGATCAGCATGGCCGCGTCTGTTCGTTTGCCGCGAAGCTCAGCAGGCTCCGGCCTGCTTAGCGAGTCGCCAGGTCGGGCGAATCGCCGCGTGCACGTTGAACTTCGTTCGCGCCGCGCTAAACGGGAGGCCGCTGACGGAACCGGAGCCGGCCGGAGGGAACGGCGCGGCTCTCCGGACTCCGCTGGACAAGGCGCCGTGACTTCTCGCCGGAGCCACCGCCGCGGCCGCTGCCGTTGGCATTGCTGCCACGCTCAGCAGCCGCGGCCACGTTGGGTCTGCGGGGACGTCAAGGGACTCCGACGGTGCCCTCCTCAATTGAAAATCCACGGGAGGCCCAGCTTCCATAAATAAAACCTCATCGCACCTTCTCACACGCACTGTCACACACACTCTCACACACACACTCACACACACTGACCACACTCTCACACTCACACACACTGTCACACACACTCTCACACACACACTCACACACACTGTCACACACACACACTCTCACACACTCACACACACACTCTCTCTCACACACTTTCACACACACACTCTCACACCCTGACCACACTCTCACACACACACACTCACCACACTCTAACACACACACTCACACACACTCTCACACACTCACATACTTTCACACACACACTCTCACACACTGACCACACTCTCACACACACACACTCACCACACTCTAACACACACTCACACACTCTCACACACACTCTCACACACACTCACTCACACACTTTAACACACACACTCACACACTCTCACACACACACTCACCACACACTCACACACTCACACACACAACAACAAAAACAACCGCCATTCGCCACTAAGTGGCGGTGACGTCACCACGACGCTTGTGCCAGGCCAAGTGCACCTTGAGGCCACGTGAAGTGTCGAACGCCCGCTGGCAGGAGGTCACGGGGCAGACCCAGCAGGTGCCACGGGTCGACTGATCGAGATGACCGATATGACTGGCTGATGCACCACCTTTGCCCCCTACTGTACCAACTTGCTGTGCTTTAGCCACCCGGCGCTCCGCTCGTTGTTGTGAGCGTCGCTCCTCCGCCCTCCGTTGTTGTTGTAGGGCGACTGCCTCCAACTCCCCAGTAACGTCCTTCACGAGCCTCCTCCACTGAGGCCGATCTTGACACCGCTGGTACCAGTCATCGGCAAGTCCACTCAGCTCCACGTCCTCCTGTACCACATCACTCCATCTCTTCTGTAGCCCGTGCCGCGCCCGTTTAGCCCCCTCGATCCGGCCGAACAAAAGCTGTTTAGGCATGCGGTGGCTGGGCATGCGAGCTACATGACCCAGCCAACGCAGCCTTGCCTGCCGGAGGAGCTCACCGATGGGACTTTGCCCAGATCTTTCAAGGATTTGTGAGCTCCTCACACAATCCAGCCTGGTTAAGCCCAGGATGGATCGTAGGCAGGCCAGCCTAAATGTTTCCAACACACACACACTCTCACACACACATTCACACACACACTCTCACACACTGACCACACTCTCACACACACACTCACACACACTCTCACGCACACACTCACCACACTCTCACACACTCACACACACCACACTCTCACACACTCACACACACCACACTCTCACACACACACACACACTCTCACACACACACACTCACCACACTCTCACACACACTCACTCACACACACACACACACTCACACACACTCTCACACACACTCACACACTCTCACACACACTCACACACACAATCTCACACACACTCACTCACACACTCTCACACACACACTCTCACACACACACTCACACACACACACTGTCACCCTCTCACACACACACTCACACACTCACCACACACACTTATCACACTCTCACACTCACCACACACTCACACACTGCAACTCCACACAGAAGGGGGCCAGAGCCGGGAATCGAACCCACGCTCTTCTTGCTGCGCGGCGCGAGCGTCACCACTTCGCCGCCACCCTGATGATCAACGCTGCCCTGGGGCGGCCTTCATCCAGCAGCGGATTAAGCAAGGGCCGTGAGTGATGACGACAGCAGCAGTAGCATTATTGTTGTCATTATAGTTCAAGCCAGTGGCCGTGAGCAAGTGGCTCAGCAGTGCACGGGGCTGCCACAAGCAAAGCACGCACAGAGCAAAGACAAAGATCCCCCCCCCGTGTAGCCTTAACAGACTGTTGGGGCAAGTGCTGTTAGCGAGTAGCACCTACGGAGGCCGGCACGGTACACGAGGGAAGTCGGTGGGCAGCGCCACGCCCGGCCGCCTTTGTCTCCCCAGTGGCGATGTTTAATACACACCGCACTAGGTACTCATTTGCGGCTGAGTCGACCTAAGGGAGGCCCATGACCGGTTCAGATAATCGTCACCGGTGTTGGCCCTGAGCGGGCATTGAACCAGGGTCGTCAGCCTCGGAGCGCGGAGCAATAACTGCTGCACTACCGCTCCACACACGCGCACACACACACGCACGCACACGCACGCACGCACATGCACACACACGCACACACGCACACGCGCGCACAAACACACACGCACACACACTCACACACACGCACACACACTCCACACACGCATGCACACACACGCACCCCCTTTGCCTTGGACCCACAGTCCTTCCTGTCTAGCATTTGCTCTGCTGCACCACCCCCGCCTCTCTCCCTCCCTCTCCCCCCCCTCTCCCTCTCTCTCCTTCTCCCACTCTGCGCGCTCCGACTTCGCTCGCCGTTACAAAAACATCGACCTCAAAAACCCGCGCGCCAGCCAGAGGGGGTGCACGACGCTGGCGCTGCCGCCGCCGCCGCCGCCACAGCGGGGCGAGGACCGGGCTGGCCGCCACGGCCGCCACCGCAGCGGCGCGGCACCAGCGCCAGGCCGTGCCGCCGCTCCGCCACCACGATTTCCATTTTCCCAGAACCGTGGGAACGGCGGTGGCGGCGCGCTCGCCGGTTCCGCGTCGTTACGGGGGGCGGGGGCAGCGGCGGCGGCGGTCACTCGCCCCCGCTGTGAACCCGTCGCCCCGAGTTCGATTCACGGCCACGGACAATCGCACTGACCAGCGTAGTGAAGTATGATCAACAGCCCCCCACCCCCCCCCGTGACGATCCTGCACGGTGAGAAAAGGATTTCCTCCTCCAGCAGTGGATTGACAGAAGGGCCGTGCTCGAACGCTCGGACAAGGTGACATGGAAACCTCGTCAGTGACGATGACGACGACGGTGGCGATGGCGACGGTGACTGTTGACAAGGCGGGTGGAGTGCGCGATGCGACGACGACGACGCTAGCTGGGTAGGGAGGTGAGCGAGAGCGTCAATGTGACAACGGTGTGACGAGCATCGCTCCCACGGGCCACAGCCGGTGGGAAACCGCCGCCCATGACTGTGCGTGGACCAGAGTGGTCACCAGAGGAAGAAATGAAACGAAACTATATTAATTATTTTGCCGAGTAAGGCCCACTGAGCAATATGGCTCAGAAGCAATCTGGCAATCAGAAATTCTATCTCAATGAAGTGGCTTGTCACGTGGAAATGTATAGCGATCAAACCCAGGACCCCCTGTATACCTGGCGAGGTGGTTAACATCTCGCCACCGCGGCAGAGAGTCCCCTCTGCGGTATCCGCTTCTGCGGGGCCGTTCTCTCACCAAAAACCCAAACCCGGGCGGCGCACTCCGACCCCCCACCCGCCCTCCCGCCCCCACCCGCCCCCTCGCCCCCCTCGCCCCCCTCGCCCCCCCCGCCCCCCTCGCCTCCCTCGCCTCCCGCTCACCAGGCCGTTGCAGTTGCTGAGTGCGACGCGGGTGGTGCCCTGGCGGCCCTGCAGGTGGCCCGTGTAGTGGCAGTCGGAGACGTAGTTGTGGCGCCAGTCGAGGCCGCGGCGGCCCCAGTACTCGACGGAGAAGGCCCGCGACACGAGCGCCGCGTTCAGGCTCAGGTTGAGGTGGAGCTGACGCCCGTAGGCGGCGAGCCGGTAGTAGACCTGCGCCGCGTCGCCGTGCCCGTCGCCTGCGCCGCACGAGAGACGCGACAGGTTCCACCACCACCCCCTCGTAGCCTTTGGCGGATCGTCGGGGCGAGCGACGGTTTAGCGGCGCCCGAGAAGGCCGGCGTGGCACGGGTGGGCGGGCGGCGCGACGCCACGCCCGGGCCACCTTTGTCTCCCTCGGTGGGCGATTTTTTTTTTCACGCACCGCACCAGACCGAGTCGACCTAGGGGAGGCCCGGGACCGGTTCGCTTGCGCGCACCCGCCACGCCGTCGTCACGGCCATGTTCTATCAGCTGCTGGATGAAAACCTCCTCCCCACACCCCCACTGCCGGCAGAATTCTTAGCGGCGCACCGAGTGCCAATTTGGCCGATCGCGACGAGCGGGTCAAGCGTTCGACGCTTGGCGTGGGCGCAGGGCCCGGTCGGCCGTGCGAGCAAGAAAGAGAGAGAGCAGGAGAGAGTGAGAGAGACACAGAGCGAGAGAGAGAGTGAGAGAGCGAGCGAGAGAAGAGCAGGAGAGAGCGAAAAGACAGAGCGAGAGAGAGCGAGAGAGTGAGAGAGACAGAGCGAGAAAGAGAGCAAGAGAGAGCGAGAGAGAGTGAGAGAGTGAGAGCGAGTGAGTGAGAGTGAGAGAGACAGAGAGTGAGAGAAAGAGCACGAGAGAGAACAGGAGAGAGTGAGAGACAGAGCGACAGGGCGAGACAGAGTGAGAGAGCGAGAGAAAGTGAGAGAGAGCGTGCTATCCGCGTCGGGGTCAATGCTCTGATTTGATTCGGTATGTTGTCCACACTGCACTGTGTGGTTGTATGTGGCCTTCGACACGGAGAGTGGCGTACACAGCCGCACCAAACCGCACGGAAACAAATCCTGAACGACACGAGGGACCCCGACCGACGAGACGACACCAAAATAAAATCGATTCCCGAACCAAGCGATTTGGCGACGCCGGCCACACCGCCACCCGTCGCCGTTTCCCGGCAGCGGCACGCAACTCACAAACGGCTCGGCGCCGGGGTCGTAGCGGGAACAACGCACAAAGCGGGCGACGTTTTGGGCAAAGGACCTCCCCCCTCATCGCGTCGAGTCACCGGGCGCCGAGCACCAACCCCGGACTGCTCTCGCCGCGACGGCCTCCGCACCCTTCGGGGGGTGCCAAACGAGGAAGCGCCATCCTACACGGGCCTCTGCGCGAAGGCCGGCCCTGCGGCGGCGGCTGCGGCGACTGTGGCACAGTCGGTGCAGTTGGGGGGGGGAGGCTCAGTCTCGTGAGACGAGAGGTCGGCGGGATGAACGCGCGGGGTTCGTGCACCGCGCGTCCAGCGGAGGCAGAGGGGGGCAGCAGCCGACGGAGATTTCCTGCTCAGAAGGAGGGAACTGAACCAGTGGTGCGGTGGATATTCCACGTTACTATGGTACGCAGGGGACGAGTCTATCCGTAGGGCAAGCGCCATTCACCTTCTCCGCGTTGGGATCACGCGCAGCGGCGGCGGCGGTAGCATCGCACACCCCTCCCCCCCCCACTGCAACAACTTGGCAGGCCTCTCCTGAAAAGCGGCCTTGGGGAAGTCTGCGACGCTGTCGTGGGCGAGCTGAGCGCGATCGTGGCCAACGCCGAATTGACCTCCCGGCACCGCCGCACGAAGGCCTCGCCGCAGGGGCCTCGCGCCGGGGTCCTTCGAGGCCGCTACCCCGTCCGGCTCGCCACCGGTTGCCCGAGCATCCCGTCCTCACCGGGGCAACCCGCTGGGCTCTCGGCCGCCCGCCACAACAAGCGGCAAGCGGGCGCCGGGCGCCGTGGCGGCGCCTTGCCAATGCGGTGACGCGACAACAATGTGCCCGAGTACTCAGCAGACGTGGCGAGCGAGCGCGAGCTCCGCGTGCCACTCGCGAGTCAGGCGAGAGAGGAGGTTGGGGCCTTCGGGGTCGGGTCTGTGACGAGCCCGGAGCGGACGTCTCACTGGCAGAGCAGGGCCATCGTCACGCCGTCTCTCTCCCCTCTCTATCCCCTCTCCCCTCTCTCTCCCCTCTCTCGCCACCTCCCCGGTGCCCTTTCGCGTGGGCCGGCAGCGGTGAAACGCTGCGATCGCCAACAGTGAGGTGGGCGAGGTCACCGGGTAGTTCGCTCTCACGGGCCGTGTCAATAAATTGCATTGCCTCACGTTTTGCGACCTTAGGCGGGACCCATTTCTGCTCTGTGGTGGTGGTGAGCCTTCGATGGGTCTCTTGAAAGTCGGTGCGGATTGCACGCTGCGGCTACCACGGTATTTTACGTGTCTATAATGTTGTACTCATCTATCCAGGACAGCCACGCTGAGTCGCAGGCAGGGATGTCTTTCAGGAGGGTCCTGCCGCCGCCGCTGCTACATTGGGGGGTTTTTTATTGTAAGATGTTCCCAGCCGATTCGTTATTATACACGTGCAGGAGGAGAAAACCGGTGCGCCCGGAGAAAACCCCGCGCTTAGCGCGAGGGGACAACGCTCAATCCCCGTACAGACGGACACAGATGGCGAGAAGTCCACTTTCTGTACCGCCTTCTCCTGGCGAGCCGGGGATACGGCACCACCCACAGGAAGGGAGTTGCACAGCCCATCTGTGTGCGATCCACCAACCTCTCGACTGCCTCTCGCTGGATGGCTCCAGGCCGCCAGGTGCAGCAGCGTGGCCACCACGGCGCACCGGGTACATAGCCAAGGTAGAGGCGCAGCCCTGCAATCGCTGGCTCACGCCGCTGCTGGCAAAAGAAGGGGTCTCCGCTAATTTGGAAGGTATTTGGCTTCCTCTCTCTCGCGCTCAAACAAATAAACTCGCAGCGTGAGGGAGCGACGCGGGGCCACGCTGCCTGCACGGTTAGACGGACTGCACGGGGTCTCTCCTCCGTCTCGTGGCCGCAAGTTCGACGTTCCGGCAGCGAGCCTATGTCAGCCTTGGCCGCGATGTCTCCCCCTTTCTCTCCCTCTCCTTGTTTCTCCCTCTCTCCCCCTGTCTCTCTCTCTCTCTCTGCATCTCTCTCCCCGTTTCTCTCTGTCTCTCCTCCCTGTCTCTCTCTCTGTATCTCTCTCCCCGTCTCTCTTTCTCTCTGTCTCTCTCTCCTCCACCGCTGCCCCAAGATCGTCCAAAACTGGCGACCCCCTGCAAGTAGTGGCCACTCGTGAATTTCTCGCCAAATTCTTTCCCCCCACCGACCCACCCACCCCTGTCCGCCCATCTCTCCCTCCCTCTCTCTATGACGGGAATTCTCTCCCCCCACCCCCTCCCGCTGTGTCCGGCCGCCCGGTTCCCCCCACTCTGAAAATACTCTAAAACATTCCCCTCTCTCCTCGCTCTCCCCCCGTCTCTCTCCCCGCTCTCATCCTACCTCTACCCCCTCTCTCCCCCTCTCTCCCCGCTCTCCTCCTACCTCTACCCCCCCTCTCCCCCCGCTCTCTCCTACCTCTACCCCCTCTCCCCCCGCTCTCCTCCCCGCTCTCTCCTACCTCTACCCCCTCTCCCCCCGCTCTCTCCTACCTCTACCCCCTCTCCCCCCCGCTCTCTCCCCGCTCTCATCCTACCTCTACCCCCTCTCCCCCCTCTCCCCTGTCTCATCCCCTCTCTCCCTCTCTCTCTGCCTCTCTCCCCGCTCTCTCCCCGCTCTCTCCTCCCTCTACCCCCTCTCCCCCCGCTCTCTCCTACCTCTACCCCCTCTCCCCCCGCTCTCATCCCCGCTCTCATCCTCCCTCTACCCCCTCCTCCCCCCTCTCCCCCTGGCTCATCCCCTCTCTCCCTCTCTCTCCTCTCTCCCCGCTCTCTCCCCGCTCTCTCCTCCCTCTACACCCCTCTCCCCCCTCTCCCCCCTCTCTCCCCCGCTCTCTGCCTCCCTCTCTCCCCGCTCTCTCCTCCCTCTCCTCTCTCTCTCATCCCCCCTCTCCCCCCTCTCTCCCCAGCTCACTCCCCCCTGTCTCCTCCCTCTCCCCGCTCTCTCCCCGCTCTCATCCTCCCTCTACCCCTCTCTTCCACATCCTCCCCCTCTCTCCCCCCCCTCTCTCCTCCTCTCCCCTCCCTCCTCGCTCTCATCCCCCCCCCGTCCCCTCTCTCCTCCCTCTCCCCGCTCTCTCCCCGCTCTCTCCTCCCTCTACCCCCTCTCTCCCCTCTCTCTCCCCCTCTCTCTGCCTTCTCTCCTCTCTGCAGCAGACGCCGCACACACGCGTCAAAGTTCCGGGTTCGATTCCCTCCCCGGGCGCCGTTCTGTGTTGCAGTCTGAATGCTTCTCCCCGGCTGCTCTGCCAGTGTGTGTGCGAGTGCGAGCGTGAATGTGTGCGGCGTGGACGCTGGCGGCCTGTTCTGCACTGTGTGTGTGTCTGCGTGGAGTCTGCGTGGAGTCTGCGTGGAATCTGCGTGTTCTCTCTCCCCCCTGCTCTGCACGGGTTTCCTTCTCCCGTGCCTAAAACAAAACGGCACAATGTCACCGACACTGGCCAACCATCATCTCAGTTCTGAAAGGCCACCTGCAATATGACTCAATTGGGATCACACAGCAGCAGCATCATCCTCCCCCCGACCTTCTTCGAAAACATGGCAGGACCCTCCTGAAAACGAGTCTTGACACTCAGCGAGTCTCTCCTGGCTAAACAAGTGGAATAACTAAAATAATAATCACCTCGTATGAGCCCAAATCAAAATGCGTATTCCAAGCAAGAGCCTGACTGCTGCTGAGAGGCTGCATGTTGAAACCGAGTGTTCAAGTCAATGCTGCTAACACTGAGCACTCCCAGAATGCCATGTGGCTGATGGGGAGTGTAAGGGGAGAAAATTGCTGATGTTTGTGCAGAGACGGATATGGGAAGGAGACATTTGTTTATTTAGTTTTCTCCGTGTCTCTCTCCGTGTCTCTCAATGTGTCTGTGTCTCTCCGTGTCTCTCAACGCGTCTGTGTCTCTCTTGCTGTGTCTCTCCATGTCTCTCAATGTGTCTGTGTCTCTCCGTGTCTCTCAATGTGGCCGTGTCTCTCCGTGTCTCTCAACGCGTCTGTGTCTCTCCGTGTCTCTCTTGCTGTGTCTCTCAACGCGTCTGTGTCTCTTCCGTGTCTCTCTGTGTCTCTCAACGCATCTGTGTCTCTCCATCTCTCCCCCCCGTTTCTCTCTCTTGTCCCGAGTTTCCTCTTCACTCTGTCCGTCCACGCAGACGGACAGAGGGACACGCAGACGGACAGACAAGGGGCTCCCCGACTCGGACAGCCACGGCCGCCGCCGTGTCCCCCACCAGCGCCACCATCTCGGCGTGTGACCCCGCCGTGACCCCCGCCGTGACCCCCGCCGTGACCCCGCCGTGACCCCGACCGCGCTCTTGCCTGTCCGCAGCCCGTCCACGCTCCTCCTGGGCCGGGCCCGGCCGTCGTTCCTCTCGGGCGGAGGGACCGGCGCTCCGTTGTGGTCGACCCTCTGCGGTATCGTCGTTTCGTAGTGATCCACATTCCGCAGGAAATCAGCTGGGGGGGGGGGGGAGACATGGAGGAGGAGAGGGGCGGGAGCGAGCGAGCGAGTGAGGGGTTGGTGGTGGTGGTGGTGGGCGCGAGAGCAACGCGGTGGGGTGGGAGCCGCTGGGGGTGGAGAGGGGGGCTGGGGGGGGTGGTGGCTGCCCCCCCCCACCGCACCATTGGCCCGCTCGGCACGTGCGGCGAGGAGGAGGAGGCGGCGAGCGCGGACCGGCACGTTCCGCTGGACATACCAGACGGACTGGTTGGCCGGCCGTCAAGAAAAGCCTCCTCTGCATTGTCTGACTGTAATTACAGACAAAGCGCCCGGCACTTTCGCTGTTACAGCTGCGATTTCTCTCCCCCCCCCCCACAAGCCCCTCTTTCCCGGGCGCATTCCGCCGCGTAACGATTTCTCCACCACTGCACTCTCACTTTCGCCTCTCCACCACCCCCCAGCCTCCTCCTGCTGCCATGCTGCGCGCCTGATTATCTTCTTGTTGTTGTTGTTTGTGGTGGTGGTTGTGGTGGTTGTGGTGGTGGCGTTTTTGTGGGGAGCGGTGGCAAAGCGGTTGGCGTAGCGGCGCTACGAACCCGGCGATCCGGGGTCGGTTCCCGCTCGCGGCCAACGCCGGTGAAGATATTTATCTGAACCGGGTCCTGGGTCTCCCCTAGGTCGACTCGGCCTCGAATGAGCACCCGGTGCGGTGTGTAGTAAACATCGCCACTGGGGGAGACAAAGGCGGCCGGGCGTGGGTGCTGGCCACCCACCCCTCGTGTGCCGTGCCGACCTTCATCGGTGCTCGCTAGCAGCACTTGCCCCTACAGTCTGTGAAGGCTACACGGGGCTTCTTTGTCTTTGTTTGTTGGTGGTGATGGGTCCCGCTCGTCCGTGGGAAGCCACCATGGGAAAGCTGCCGCTGCCGCTGCCGACAGTTTGCCCGAGCTCTGCGTTCCTACATTGGGAAGTTTGGCCGAGCCCGTGAATGTCGGTGACGGTGATGATCTGTTCCGCCCGGCATGCAAACCACACACAGATAAAGCTCCCCCCGTCATGTGCAGGGTGCGCGGGCTGCTGGCGGCAAGTGCTGTTAGCGAGCGCCTATGAAGGCCGGCACGGCACAGGAGGGGTGTGGGTGGCCAACACCAAGCCCGGCCGCCTTTGTCTTCCTCGCGGCAGTGTTTGCACTCCTGCACCGGGTACTCATTTAAGGCTGAGTCAATCTCGGGGGCGGCCAGGACCGATTCAGATGAATCGTCGCCACTTGCTGGCACATTGAGCGCGAATCAAAACTCGGTTCGCCACGTGCTCGCCCTGTGCACAACACAGGGCGAGAGAGCACGCAAATTCCACACGCACACACACACCACCCAACACACACACACAACATACACACTCGCACACACACACACGCACACACCCCAACACACACCCAACACACACACACCCAACACACGCACACACACACTCAACACACGCACACACACACACACACCCCCAACACACACACACACCCAACACACACACACGCACACACCCAACACACACACACACACGCCCAACACACACACACACACGCCCAACACACACACACACCCAACACACACACACACCCAACCACACACCCAACACACACACACACACACACCCAACACACACCCAACACACACACCCAACACACGCACACACACACCCAACACACGCACACACACCAACACACGCACACACACCCAACACACACACCCAACACACACCACACGCACACCGCCAACACACACACACGCACACACCCAACACACACACACACACCCAACCACACACACCCATCACACACACACACGCACACACCCAACACACACACACGCACACACCCAACACACACACACCCAACACACCACACACGACACCCAACACACACCCAACACACACCCAACACACACACCCCCAACACACATACACCCCCAACACACACGCACACACCCAACACACACGCACACAACCAACAAACACGCACACACCAACACACACGCACACACCCAACACACACATACACAACCAACACACACACACCCAACACACACACCGCACACCCAACACACGCACGCAAACACACACACGCACTACACCCAACACACACCACACCCACACACCACACACCCACACACACACCACAACACACACGCGCACACACACCCAACACACACGCATACACACACACACGCCCAACATACACACACACCAAACCCGCACACACCCACACACACACCCAACACACGCACACACACACACCCAACACACGCACACACACCCAACACACGCACACACACCCAACACACACACCCAACACACACACACACGCACACACCCAACACACACACACGCACACACCCAACCACACACACACACCCAACACACACCACCCATCACACACACACACGCACACACCCAACACACACACACGCACACACCCAACACACACACACCCAACACACACACACACACCCACACACACCCAACACACACCCAACACACACACACCCCCAACACACATACACCCCCAACACACACGCACACACCCAACACACACGCACACAACCAACAAACACGCACACACCCAACACACACGCACACACCCAACACACACATACACAACCAACACACACACACCCAACACACACACACGCACACCCAACACACGCACGCAACACACACACGCACACACCCAACACACACACACCCAACACCACACACACCCAACACACACACACAACACACACGCGCACACACACCCAACACCACGCATACACACACACGCCCAACATACACACACACCCAACACGCACACACCCAACACACACACAACACACACCCAACACACGCACACCCAACACACACACCCAACACATCCAACACCACACACACAACACACACACCCAAAACACACACACACGCACACACCCAACACACGCACGCACATACACACCCAACACACGCACACACCCAACACGCGTACACACCCAACACACACACCAACACACACACACACACGCACACACCAACACATGCACGCACACACACACCCAACACACGCACACACCCAACACGCGTACACACCCAACACACGCCGCACACACGCACCACACACACCCAACACACGCACACACCCAACGCACACATCCAACACACACACACATACCCAACACACAACACACACACACCCAACACACAGCACACAACACCCCCACCCACACACCCACACACAACACCCACACCCAACACACACACCCACCCAACACACACACACACCCAACACACAACACACACACACCAACACCCAGCACACACACACACACCCACACACCCAAGACACAACACACACACCCAACACACACACACACACACCCAACACCACACACCCCAACACACAAAACACACACAACACACACACACACACCACACACACAAGACACACACACACCCAACGCACAACACACACACAACACACACACACACACCACACACACAAGACACACACACACCCAACGCACAACACACCCAAAACACACACAACACACACACCCAACAAGCACACACACGCAACACACACACACACACCCCGTCTTACTTCTGCCCATGAGAGGGGAAAGAAGCACAAACGCTCACGCCGATAGGGGCCACCCGGTTCGGTGATCGAACCCAGGTGGGGTGTGTGGGGGGGTGTTTGCTACGTGCGCGTGCGTGCGTGCGTGCGCGTTACACGCGCGTGCGTGCGCGTGCGTGCGCCGTGGACACATTTTGGTGGTTGCCAGAATACTCACAAGAAGGGGGCACGTCAACAGAAGTGCCTCGGGGGTTGCATAAGCTACAGACTGCCCCCGCACAGTGCGCGCACGTCCACATCGCCGCCGATGGAATGTATAGGAGGAGGAGGGCAGGGAAAGGGGCCCCGGCTACGAGTTAAGTCACCGCGGGACCCAAGCAAAGATTTGAATTGAAAGCCAAAGAGATGACCCTACTCAGAAGTTTTCAATGCCACCAAAAAAATGATCAAGCCCCACCACCACCACCACTCGTGTCAGTCGACACCGTCGCCTGTCACTCAAACTAGCCCCGCCTTCTCCATCCACCCACCAAAGACAAAGGCCCCCCGTGTAGCCTCGGCAGGCTGGTCGGGGCAAGTGCTGTTAGCGAGTAGCACCTACGAAGGCCGGCACGGCACACGAGGGGGTGGGTGGCCAGCACCACGCCCGGCCGCCTTTGTCTCCATCGCGGAACAGGCGATGTTTACACACCTCCGCCACCAGCTGTCACACATCAGCAGTGAACTCACACGCGCGTATACACAGAGACAAAGATCGCCCCTATAGCCTTTGGGGGCAAGTGCTGTTAGCGAGCACGTATGAAGATCGGCACGGCACACGAGTGGGTGGGTGGCCCGCACCCCACGCCCGGCCGCCTTTGTCTCCCCGGTGCTGATGCTTAACACATCGCCGCCACCACCCACCCAGGTGCTTGCGTGGCCGTGCGGCAGAGGCAGCGGAGTACAGTAGACACCCTCACTGCCCCACTACCCAATGGCGCAGCGGTGGGGTCGCGAGTTCAAATCCCACTGGGTTTGGTTCACTCAGCCCATCATCATCCCTGTCACGCGGGGTCGATAAAATAGGTACTATTTTGTGGAGAAATTAACGGTCGTTGGTTTGTGGATGGACTCGCCCCCGGCCACATAAATGTGGAATCCCCCCCCCCCCCCACTTTCTCTACAGGATTGATGCCTCAATGCTCGTTTGAGCAGCAGCAGCAGCAGGAGGTCACGCTGAGGGCTCTAAGGCAGTGTGGAGGAGGGGCTGGGGGCGGTGTAATGCTGGATACTGGACGTGGTGATAATCCTCACTCGGCCACAGATGGCGATGGTTACATCACTGCGACCAGCTCAAGGGCCGTGGCAGCAAAGCCCCGCTGCTGTAGCGAACATCCCACAGCACATCCACGTCTCTCCACCTTCGCCACTCGAGTCTTGGGGTCAATTTACCGCCGTGACCTCCACGGCGCGGGGAAGATCTCACCCAGGAGTGCGGTTGACAAAGAGGGACGTACACATACAAAGACCCCCCGTATAGCCTTATCAGATTGTTTGGGGCAAGTGCTGTCAGTCAGCACCTACGAAGGCCGGCACGGCACGCGAGGGGGGGGGGTGGCCAGCACCGCGCCCGGCCGCCTTTGTCTCCCTAGTGGCGATGTTGACACACCGCACCAGATGAGTACAGAGGGTTCTGGCCAAACATCTTAATGCAGGACCTTTTTGAAAACGAGTAGTCTTGAGACTCACGCTGCCCTGGGTATGCACAAGCGTGCTGAGTTGTCATTCCGCTTGTTCGCCACGGAAAGCCTCGCACGAGTCTCGAGACTCGTTTTCAGGAGGGTCCTGCCAAGTTCTCGCGGTAGGGGGCGACGTTGCAGCTGCTGCTGCTGTGCGATCGCAAATTGAGTGGAAGTCTGCGGGGAATTGTTGAGAGCTCTGCGAGGAATAAAACCCGGAGGAACCCCTTTGCAGACCAGGGGCGAGACACACCGACTCCACACACAGAGAGAGAGAGACGCCTCCACGCACCAAGGCCCTGATTCCGATTTCCCAGAGCGTCTTGTAACTCAGAGAGCACCCGTGACCGGCCCTCATTATCATTCTCAAACGCCGAGTGAATTGAGTCGGACAAACATCCTCACGTCGGAGCGCGGTGCAATGTCTGGCGCCGGGCTCTGTCCGCACTCAAAAGTCATTCGCCGCTCACACGCACGCGCGCGGACGTCAACATGCAAACAACAACAACTGCGGTTTACCTTGAGACGTGTAGGAATACTTAGCATAGCGAGCCGACACCGCCATCCCAGCTGTGGTGAATGCAATCCATGTGAGAGCGCCCGCCCAAAGTCCCATTATCGGAGGGGACGTGAGCTGACGATGCTTCCGACGCTGATTCTCCTCTTACCGCCGCCCCCTTCCGATCTGCCTCGATCACTCGATTCACTCGCGGTCAGAGCAGCAGCAGCGGCGACGACGCCGGCAGCACTGGTCGTGGCAGCAGCAAGAGCAGCAGCAGCAACAGCTGACAGCTACAGAGTTCAACATTCTGCCTGCGAAGGGTCCATGTCCAGGGAGCGCGATCCAGTCCGCCTTTCGCGTCGTCCGTGCGCGCCGCGGCAAATGCATGGGGGGCGCGTGGTGGGGGGGGGAACTACGTTCTCCAAACCACCGTCAGCACCACCACCACCGCCGCCGCCGATGGGTCTAACGTGCCAGCCTTTGTAGTGTTCGTTTAACTGTCGGCCAAAATTATAAAAGTTCAAAGTATACGTGGACCGCAATGCAAGCGGGTGATGATGGAGCGTCTTCTCTTTTGATGTCTTCTTTAGCAGCCGCTGCTACTGCTGCTGATGATGCTGATAATTTCGCTGCCGCTGCTGATGATGATGGTTTCGCTGCTGTGCTAAGAAGATCCACCAGCCATCGTGGTCGATGTCCGCCCGTTGCTAGAGTGGTCACTGAAGCGAAACTCGGGGCAGTTGAGGATCCTTCAACGAGTTCGTTTTGTCCCCCTGCGTGATGACACACAGAACACACCGAACACACACGGCAAGAAAGTGCCGCTGCGTGTGAATGAAGATGCTGCCGAGACCTACACACACCACCACCACGTCGAGACAACCTCCTTCCCGCTGCCGTAGCGACTCACTGTTATAGCCACGCGCCAAACGAGGCCCCCCCTACAAGCAGAGAGTGAGAGAAGCTGAAAGCCGCCCGATGTTTAAATATCAGCTGCGGCAGTGCGTCACCAGCTCCGACACGCGGAGTGACCACCCCCACAAGTGTCCAAGCGATGCCACCACCACCAACCACCACCACCAACCACCCCACCACCACCACCACCAACAACCACCACCACAACCACCACCACACAACTTCCAGTCGTGCTCTTGGACGCGCTGTGATATCGATCCATCACCATCGCCATCATCATCATCGCGATCGCCGAGTGGCGATTCCTATTGGCTGCCGCACGCTACCAAAGGCGCAAACCCTGCAACTGCTTGGCTCACGGAGGGGCCATCCTCCTCCTTCCTGGAGACATCGCGGGGAGACTTGTCCACGGCTCGATCTGCGCGTCTGCTGCCCCTCCCCACCCCCCCTCTCGTATTCAACGGGAGAGAAGTTGCACCACGGATCGGCACGGAATTGACACTGATTGGCGGCAGATTTTGATCTGTGTCAGATCTGTACGAGTTGACCACATCAGACACCACCTTCCGACAAAGACAAATGTCCCCACTCCCACATAGCCTACGCAGCCTACGCAGGCAAGTGCACACAGACAGACTTCCCGCACGCACCACAGATCAACCCCTAGACTGTTGAGTCAGCTCCTGTCAGCGAGCACCTATCCAGGCCGCCACGTCTCTCACGGACGCAGTCGGTGCTGCTGCTGCTGCTGGCGGTGTGGCCGGCACCACGGCGCTGACGTCTCAACCACACGCGACTCGTTTGTGGCCGAGGGCACCTAAGTCGGGTTCGGGCATTCGGTTCGGATCCTCGTTTTTCCGCCACTGATGCTGGCCCAGGCACGAGAATGCAACTCGCGGTGCATCGCGCTGATCACTTTCACACCGCATCCCCCGAACCACACGCAGTACAGTAACACACAGAGAGAGAGAGAAACTACGCACAGCAGAATGTCTGCGCTGTTATAAGAGCGCTTGCCATCGAAGCGTCTGCTAAGGCGGCGCGGGGAATCTGCGTGTCCTTGCGCGTTGTACGCGTGCGAATGCGTCTTTGTGTCGTGCGGAGGTGCTGCTCGCGGACAGAAAGTGTCTCTCCCCCCCCCCCCAACTGTTAATGCGACACGGGGGTGGGATCTTTGTCTTGTTCTTTGTGTGTGTGAGTTGTGTCTATCTGCGCGTGTGTGTGAGAGAATGTGTGTTGCGTGTGTGTGTGTGAATGCGTGTCTGTCTGTACGTGTGTGAACGTGTCTCTGTGTCTGACTTTGTGAATGTCTGTTTACGTGTGTGAGAAAGTTTGTGTGTGTGAATGTGTCGCCGTGACTGTCGATGTGAATCTCTGTCTTTTGTCTACGCAAATGTGCGTGAAAGTGTGTGTGTGTGTCTGTGACTGTGTGTGTGTCTGTGACTGTGTCAGTGAACGTGTCTGCGTGAGTGTGTGTGCGCTCCGCATGCATTTCACAATAGCACTAACCACATCAGACGCGCAGCATATGACCCACATACACACACAGGCACACTCCCTCACACACACACACACGCGTTGTGTGTGTGCGTGTGAACGTACTCACAGTCAGCTGTACGAGACGAGAGACCGATCGAAAGAGAGATTCCTCCCTTCGCTCACGAGTGCAACTCCTCCTCCAACATCCAACGTCGGCGTGTCCCCTCTCAAAGCAGCAAGCAAACCAGCAGCAGCAGCAGCATCACAACTTTTCGCCAGACGGAGGAGCAGAGAGTGAGCCCCCAGGCACACACGGCTCACACATACGGCTCTCTCACATACACACACACGCGCTCTCTCACATACACACACATACACACACAGCTCTCACATACACACACACACCGCTCTCTCACATACACACACACGGCTCTCTCACACACACACACCGCTCTCTCACATACACACACGGCTCTCTCACATACACACACACGGCTCTCACATACACACACGGCTCTCACATACACACACACGGCTCTCACATACACACACACGGCTCTCACATACACACACACATACACACACCTCTCACATACACACCGCTCTTCACATACACACACACGGCTCTCTCACACACACACACGGCTCTCACATACACACACACACGGCTCTTCCCATTACACCACACGGCTCTCACATACACACACACGGCTTCTCACATACACACACGGCTCTCACATACACACACGGCTCTCACATACACACACACGGCTCTCACATACACACACGGCCCTCACATACACACACACGGCTCTCACATACACACACACGGCTCTCCACATTACACACACACGGACTCTCACATACACACACACGGCTCTCACATACACACACAACGGCTCTCACATACACACACACGGCTCTCACATACACACACGGCTCTCACATACACACACACAGCTCTCACATACACACAACGGCTCTCACATACACACACACGGCTCTCTCACATACACACACGGCTCTCACATACACACACGGCTCTCACATACACACACGGCTCTCACATACACACACCACGGCTCTCACATACACACCACACGGCTCTCACATACACACACGGCTCTCACATACACACACACAGCTCTCACATACACACACGGCTCTCCCATACACACACCACGGCTCTCTCACATACACAAACGGCTCTCACATACACACACACGGCTCTCACATACACACACACGGCTCTCACATACACACACACGGCTCTCACATACACACACGGCTCTCACATACACACACGGCTCGTTTGCTCCCTGCCTGGGTTCCCTTGCTACTTTCCTGTCTAGCTCAGCCCTCCTCTCTCTCCCCCCTCTCCCTCCCCCCCACCCCCCCTCTCCCTCCTCTCCCTCCCCCCCACCACTCTTCAACGTCTTGAAGTCTCCCGTTTACTTAAAATATCGACCCCCAGAAGCCAACGGGCAGCCAATGGAGCAGCGGGGGGCCCAGGGTGGGTGCAAGGGGGGGGGGGGGAGACAAACGCGGCGCGGCCAATCCCAGCCGGGCTCCCTCCCCCACCGCCGGTGTGGGGGGATGGCGGTGGGGGACATTCTGAGGCTCCTCCCTCCCTCCCCCCACCACTCCCCCACCACTCCCCTCTCTCTCTCTGCTGTGTGGATAAGCAGAACATGGATTGAGTCACTCCACTGCTGGATGATGGCCTCTAAATTATACATATCTCCATCACTCCCACAACGACATCATCATCTATATGCTTTTCCTTCTCTGATGCGTCTCATGGAACCCCCCCCCCCCCCCTGTGTGTGTAGCACTCTGCACGTTTGCAATAATCCACTGCTGGATGAGACCTCTCCACGCCATGTGGGTCGATTCGCAGTGATTCTCAGCCTCTCCACACCCCCTCTCTCCACATCTCTCTCCACATCTCTCACATGTGTCTCATTTAAACGTCCCCCCCCCCCCATCTCGCCCTCTCTCCACCCGCTTGTGTATCTCGTTGACTTTCTGCCCCCCCCCCCCCTTTCTCATGTGTGAACATGTGTGACAGCTCATTTGTCAATCCACTGCTGGATGAGGCCCTTTCCAGGTTTCGCCTAAACCATTCCCTACCCCATCTCCCCCCCCCCATCTCTCACCCACCCACCCCTCTCTCACTCCCCCGTGTCTTCTGCCTCACACCCCCCTCTCACTCCTCCCTCACTCCTCCCTCCCTCTCACTCACTCACGACCCGTCTCCCCTTCCCTCTCTTTTTTACGATCAGAGGAAACAAGAAGATGCTCGGTGTAGTTTGGCACTTTGCTTCGTTCATCATTTCGGTTTTTTTAGTTTTGTTTCAATGCTTTGCTTTATGTAACCCCCCCCCCCCCCCCCTGTTTAAATGAAAGATTTCACAAAATATTTTATGCTCTGCTCTCCTCCTTCTTACCCCTTCCCTCTCTCTCTGCCCCCTCTCTCTACCCCCTCTCTCTCTCTACCCCCTCTCTCTACCCCCTCTCTCTCTCTACCCCCTCTCTCCCTACTCCATGTCTATGTCCCCCTGTTTTCTATGTAAGTTTTTTTTACTACGACAAGTCCTACGGCCTCCGACGGGTAGCTCATATCTGCATGCAGAGCTCTCCGTCATCTGCCACCGAGCACACGGCCTCCTCCAGCGCCCACTGCTCCTTGAAGGCCGGCACGGCGTGGGTCAGCCGCGCCACATGGCGGAACTCCAGCCCACACACCCTGGGGCACCGACCAGAGCGCGGAAGATGCCCAGGCTGCTGGCCGGATGTTTCCCCTCCAGGGCCACCTTCCTCGCCCTGTACATGGCGAGCTTGGCGTAGCCGACGAGCACGTTGACCAGCCCCTGAAGATGTCCTAATCTCTCCTCGTCATCAGTGCCAAATCTGTGCCGAATCAGTGCCA